CAAATATCTGGGATCACTGTACATACGAAAGTGACGTACTGTGCAGCTAAGGAAATCTCCCAGGATTTTCATTCATTTCAGTGTATGCTTATAGTGCTTGCACACGAATAACGCATATAAATACTGTCATACCAATAACTGCGATAAGATCAAGCAAGCATGCGTTACAATCTTGAAAACAGTTCATCATAATAACATATATGTACTATACATAGTATAATCTCGTTATAACAATTATTAATGATTACGACGATTTTTTTTTGTCCCTGTCCAGCAATAGCCAAAGGTAATTTTAATTTCTTTCAACGAAATTTTGATAACGAATCACTTTTTAAGGTCTAAAATTCGTCGTTGTAACGAGATTCGATTGTATACACATACACGCACAGTATTCATATTCAGGAGGACCCTTGCCTGCAACGATTTTCTCGATTCAACAAATTTGTTGGTCCCATTAGGTTTTCCGTACCAATGTTGTACAGGGTTCACATCAAAGAAATTCTCCGTTCAGCAATTTTTTTTCGGCTCCTTAAATTTCGTTGTAGATGAGTCCATATCTGTGTATAAGTACACTGCTGTATATGAGAAATACACATTCACATGAAGACAAATTACATGTACATGGATAGGCTTAATGTAATGGAGAGTGTCAATTGGGATTTCCCGTACAAGATTCTGACTATTTCACTGGAAAAACGGTAACAATACTTGCCAGGAAAGCTGGTCATCAGGTTTCTGCAGTTAATGCGAGTACTTTTTTTTAAATACAGTACATCTTTACGCAATGCATGCAGACGACATCTCACGAGCAAAGTGTCGCCGACTCGAGTTAGGAATGATGAAGAAATAAACAGATGTCGCACGTGAGAGTTTTTTTATATCGACATTCCAGCGCAGTGAAAGCGTTCCGTGCACGAAAATGGCGTAGAAAACATTCCATAGATTTTGACAGCATCCTGAGCAGAACTAATTCCGCGGACTGCGAAATCATTTCACATTTAACAATTCGGCTTGCTTCGCTTTCATGATCTCTTCGGCCGCGTGGACGTAATTCTCACTCATGGCATGAACCTGGAATATTTCAGACATTACGTCAGTGTCTGAAGAAACTTTTTTTTTTAAGGAAATAGAAAAATCTTCACCTGCTGTTCAACAGAGAACAAAACATCTACAGAAAATGACTTGTCCATTTTCTTGACATCAGCCACATACTTGTTTCGCAAATCTCGAATATTTTCCTTGCATTTGTTGAAGAATAGCTTCGCATTCTTCGCCAACTGATCACGATGTTCCTTCGTCACTCTATACGGCAAGTAAAAACATCCTTTTGAATTCTACACGGAATCAATGCGCACAATTTCCATGTCCTTAGAAGTGTTATGCAAAAAATTCAGCAGCCCTTAAAAAATTAAGAAATTGACAACTCACTTTGGCACGGGGACATAAATAGTAGTACCGTCTTGTTGGGGATTTAAATTCATTCCTGAAGCTTCGAGAGCTTGCATCACATCCTTCGTTGCTTGGGGAAAAGCTGCACAATTGATGACGATCAATTGAGGAGTCTTGTACGCAATTTGCGCAATTTCCATCAATGGGAACGTGTCGCCCTCCAACTTCACTTTCAACGAATTCAGGGAACCTATAATGCAGTCGCAATTTACATAAATCGGCTCATCGCGAAAATGGCGAATTTTGTACTTCACCTGTCGCAGTGCGTAATGACACTTGCTCAGCGTAGAGCTTCTTGAGGCCCATGAGCGCTTTTTCAAGTTTCTCCTTGTACTTTTCGACTTCAATAACTTGGCCGATTTCCTCTTCGTCGATTGCCAAGTGATGCTTATCTGAAAATATCCAAACAATTAAAAAAATATGCGTTGAATACGAATGAAGAAAGAGTCAAAAATGTCAACATGACGGGATATTTGGAAGGATGTGAAAATGGCGTGAAAAGATTCGTTACATCCTGTTTTCACATACAAACCGTATTTAGTCAAATCAAAGACGCCGTGAATTTGCATGGCCTAACGCTGATGTAATTTTTAATTGAAAGAGATTTTTATCATGCTTCAGTTACAGGGAGTTTCTTTCTTCAAGATTTTTCAACGAAGATAAAAAACACTCTTTTGTCCTTCAAAATGAAAANCGCTGATGTAATTTTTAATTGAAAGAGATTTTTATCATGCTTCAGTTACAGGGAGTTTCTCTCTTCAAGATTTTTCAACGAAGATAAAAAACACTCTTTTGTCCTTCAAAATGAAAATGCCGATCTTTTCCACAAAAATTTCAGTCAAATTTTGTTCGTAAAACCGCACGCTCGTCTAAGGCGACATCCCATGTAAAAAGCATTCCATCTTTGTTCAGACCATTTTTGCGAAAAGTGCGCATCTTACATTCGAATAAAAGCGATACGAACAATGCTAAAAACAGAAAGTTTTACAAAAATTGCGGAAAATATTTGGAAAAAAACAAGGTCACGCCAGAAGCCATTGAACAAAAGGCTTAAAACTTTTCATTCTTCAAGGACTCACGTTTCTTCTCCTTCCCCCGGTCTTTTGCTTTCCAATCGACTCCGGAAGTTGAGAAAGTGAGACGGGTATAATTCTGATGAACTAGCGTCGGGAAATTTTCATTTTTCACGAAACCGGCCGAGAAGTTTCGCTCGATACTCCTTCTGATGGTGGTTCGCCAGAGACTTCTTTTCACGCTTTGGCACGCGATGAGAAATAAGTTCCTCGACGACATTCTCGTCAGTGCTTTCCGATCACGACCTATTCCATTTTCGTCCTGACGATCGCAAATTTATTTCAGCATTAGCAAAAACATGAAGCACACGAATTTAAAAATCATCCGCTCTCCATCGTCCGGTCGCTAAAATTACATGAACCTCCTTCAGCAAGACGAATATTGAAATCTCACACAGCGGGAGGAATGAAAAGAGCGGACTCATTTTCAACAGGGATCCCCTTTGAAAAGTAGGCTCTTGTATTGAGAGCTATAGGATAACTTGAAGTTTCCCTTTTTTGATTATCCTCAATTTTATGGCTCTACATTTCTACGTCCATCAGAAAAACTAGATGATTTTTCGAATCCGTGTTTTGATTCCTTCAGATTTTCTATGACGCACATTTTGTGGAATATTTGTTTTATCTGGCCCTTCATTCTTTTCAATAGCAAAATATAGATTCTTTAATCCAGGTAAAATGGTACATGAGACAAATCATTCTAGGCAGCCATAAGTTCTAAAGAAATAGATAATTTTTTATTTCATAAGACACAGAGCGTCGATCACGGGACACCTGGCCCGAGTTTACAGATTTAAGTGGAACATAATTTAAACTCCTGGAATACAATCTTTTCGCCAAATTTCAAACTATGCTAGCAGAATTCGTAGGG